CAAATATGCGACACAATGCAGATCTTTGTTTTTACTCATCCACAAAAATATTATTATTATCACATTAGCCATCTAATCTCATGCTCGCTTTTTAAAATTCTCAAATATTGAATAAAAAAATCCTTTATTTTCAGCAACATTTTCAAATAACAATTCTTGATCCTCTTCTGTTTCAGGCTGGTTTATTTAAAAATATTCACATTTTCTTTTCAGAAGCAGAACATTTAGTTAGCAATGAACAAAACCAGAAAAAAATCCTAAATCTGCTAAAGAAATTGTTCCAACAAACTGCATRTTTGGGTTTAAACATTAAGCATCGGGTTGGGTTTTTCAATGAAAAGAACCTCTGCTGGGCTTTTGTGAGCTCTGTGGAGCAGCACTGCCCTCTGGTGGTTCCATCAGTGTCCTCTTTTGAGTTTAGCAAATTTTAGTCAAATCCTCAAAAAACAAACAGTAGTCTTGTGAGTTTAAGCTGAGATAGAATTTGTCAGGATCAAGCAGAACTACAAACCAATACATTTAAGCTCCAGAGAAATATTTCCAAATCTTTGAGGTTTAAGTTTAAAGTCAAATTTTGAGTCCTCACATGAGTAACAGCAAATACTGTATTCTTCTGTCCTCAAAAAACAAACCAAATCTCTTGTTTGAGATTTATTTAAAAACACAGTAACGAATTTACAGTAAGCAAAATATTTTTATCTAAGAGAGAGATTGTTTCATATTAAGAAATCTGTTTGTGTTCAATACATTTTTTTTCTAAACACAGAGATTTGGTTTGATTTTTGCTTGTCTGCTCTTCATCACTGGGACTAACTCTTCCTCATCTTCAGGCAAAGGTCCTGAAGTTCTTTATGCCGGACAAAAGCTCAACGACAACGAGTGGCACTCCGTACGAGTGGTCCGCCGCGGTAAAAACTTCAAACTTATTGTGGATGACGACATGTCTGAAGGTACCTCTTTTTTTACTTGAACATGCCTGATTGTTGAATGTGTTGTTTTGTGTGATTGCTCTAACAAAAACAAATCTGTTTTCTTCACTGATACTGTCTTTTCAGTTGATGTAGAAACCTCGTACGTCAAAGGTTTAATTAGGAGCACAGCTTTTATTTTGTTAAAGTACATCAGAGAGGTTTGAGAACTCTCCGACCCTTTTTCACTATATTTCATAAATAGATGTCTATAAGCCACAGACAGATGTGTGAAGGATGACCAACAGAGTTTATCAATGCAAAAAACATCAAAAAGTCAAAAAATATGGAGATGTAGGATTTTTGCTTTTTTTTATTTTTTATTTTTATTACTGCTGAATAATGAGGAATGTATAAAAATGCTGATAATTACTGTGTAAGCTGCCTTTTGGGAAAAGAATTACTTGCAGACTATTTCAAGTCCAAGAAGTCTCCATTTGTACTCATATAATTGATGTTTTTCAAAGCGACTGCAGTCTAAACGCTTATTTTACATTTCATCTGACTTTTCCATCTGTGAGGTGGGGGTGAGCGGATCGATCTGTTTAATAATGACACTAGCCGAGAGTTATGCATTTTAAATCTTGTAACTCCACACATCTTCAGCTGCAGAACAGAAGTCCAGGTGCTTCATTTTTATTCTTTTATTTTTCTATGTCCWTGAGGACCGGGAATCCACAGAAACATAACAGTAATGTTTATCTCTCTCAGAACATATCAATACAAAAGTTACTCAATCTGGACTTTTTTTTAGTACATTGCTTTGTTCCAAAAATAAGATGCTGCTCGGARCATCTGGTCAGAGCCAGGTATTAACACTGAACTTAACAAGCAGATAATTATTTAATCAACTCTTGTTTGTGCAACAACTTTAGATTAAAAAAATAAATAAAAATCAGAATTSAGCATTAAGACCTGCAGTGTGAATGTAGCCATCGTCTCTCCAGTATGTCCTGGGTTTTCCCCAGGGTCTCCTCCCAGTTGGACATGTCAGTCGGGCATGCACCTCCCTAAGGAGGATGCCTGAACCACTTCAACCACTTGTTGATTGAATAATTCTAGGAGTTATGCTGTTGGGGGAAACAGAACTTGCCGCTGGTAGGGTCTCACATGGCAGGTTGGTCCTAGGTAGGGCTGGCACAAACGATTATTGTAATAATCTATTATTCACCGATTATTTATTCGATTAGTCGACTTATCGGATCATACGTTAATTGAATATAAAACATAGAGCTCATCACATCAGAATGCAGCTGCTATTGTATAACCATGGTTAGATTTTAGCTATATGCTAACTAAAAATAATTGCTGTGGAAGGCAAGTTCTGCTCTGCAGATATTACACAGGTTTCTCTTTCATTTTCTTAAAATGATCCCACAGTTTTGAGCTCCGTTGTCAGGTAGCCATGATACCAGAGCCTGTCTGTATAATGTCTTGTGACGTCCACGGCCTACCCCAGTTATCACTACTGTGCATGTGTGTCAAGGACAGAAAGGCAGATGTGGCAGTGGAAGGTGTCAAAGCAGTTTGGAGAGAAAAACAAAGTAAAGAACAACAACAAAAAAAGAAAGAAAACGATTAATCGATAATTAAATTAGTCATCGATTATTTTAATAATCGATTAGTCGTCGATTAATCGATTAATCGATTAATCGTGGCAGCCCTAGTGCTAGGTGACAAGCCAGACAAATAGTGATTCAAAACACTTGTTTAGCTGGAAAAAAATCAAGACACTCAATGTTCTTTTCACTTCTCTTCCTTTGCAGGTCAGATGGCAGGTGACCACACCCGCCTGGAGTTTAGCAACATGGAAACAGGCATCTTGACTGAGAAACGCTTCATCTCATCGACACCCTCGCCCTTCATTGGTCACCTTCAGGTATTGACACATTATTGCCAATGACCATTTCTTCAGTTTTAGTTTATCTTCTTATTTTTAGTTTATTGTTTTAATGTACAGGAAACATCGTTGCATCTTTTGTTCCTTTTCMCTCAGAGCCTCAAGTTCAACGGTATGCAGTACATCGACATGTGCAAGAACGGGGACATCGACTTCTGCGAGCTCAACGCCCGCTTTGGCATGCGCTTCATYGTCGCTGACCCAGTCACCTTTAGGACCAAGGGCAGCTACCTGGGACTGGCCACTCTGCAGGCTTATACCACAATGCACCTGTTTTTTCAGTTTAAAACCACCTCGCCGGATGGTTTCATCATCTTCAACAGTGGAGATGGGAATGACTTCATCGCAGTGGAGCTGGTCAAAGGGTGAGCAGGGCTGAGATGCTGATGAACATGTCGATGCTTTATGGAGAAGTCCAAATGATGCATTGAGAAGTAGCTGTGCTGATACGGGGTTAAATGATTTCCGAGGTTAACAGTGTTGGGAGGAGTACTGATCCCTTTCCTGATCTGTTTATGTGCCGCTTCCTTACAGGTTCATCCACTATGTGTTTGACCTTGGGAACGGGCCCAGTCTGTTGAAAGGGAATAGCGACAACCCACTAAACGATAACCAGTGGCACAATGTGGTCATCACACGAGATGCTGCGAACACGCACACACTCAAAGTGGACTCGAAGTCAGTCACTCAGAATGTCAACGGAGCCAAAAACCTGGATCTTAAAGGTACCACAAGTTAAAGAAACTACAACTGACTTGACCACTTTTAAAAACTTATATATCTTATTCATAAAAGCAAAAGTTAAGAATATTTGAAGTGATGTTCTGTGCAATTGATGTTAGAATTTCTATAAAATTATGTCTTACCTCATTGTGTGTCTAATCAGGTGACCTATTCATTGGCGGTTTGGGACCCAACATGTATCAGAACCTCCCCAAGCTGGTGGTTTCTCGGGAGGGCTTCCAGGGCTGCTTGGCCTCTGTTGATCTCAACGGCCGCCTGCCAGACCTCATCAACGATGCCCTTTTCCGCAGCGGGCAGATAGAGCGCGGCTGCGAAGGTACAAATGGCCTGTGGCGTCTAAGAGTTATGACTTGCTGTGTAAGATTTATCAGGATAATTAGAATGTTCCTGAGTAGCTCTCAAAAACATTCAGTGGCACCATTAATCCTCATTTTTGTCCTCTTTGCCAGGTATTTACCACCTTATTGGATGATTCTTCTAATGTGTCATTCTGGATTTATAAAATGTTGTGTAAAAGCTAAAAAAATGCTGAAATGCTTGTTGCTCCAATGAAGAAATCAAAGAAAATATACTGTATTTGTTTCCTTTTATAGATAGATTTCAAGACCTTTTTCAGAGACGCTTTAACTTGGCTTGAATGACCAACATGCCCTACCCCTTCCTCTTTAGCCACTCAGGAGAAGGTGTTTAATATCAAAAACAAACCATTTTTATATTGTCACCTGACTCTTAGGTCAGACTCATGGCTGATTTTGTTAGAACAAGAGATTATTCTTTCCTAAAGCCTTGGAAGTCTGTTGTTTCTATAATTTACTTATTTTTTACTATTTTCCACAAAAGTATTTAAGTTGATGCTACAACCCCTGGCACATATTAAGGAATCACCACTTTTGATGGATGGTCTTTCAATTGTTTAATTTTGTGTAAAATAAATAATTCAGGCATGCCACAAATTTATCATTTATCAAAATCCCAACCTTTTTGGTATGAAGTGAATTTCCATTGCATTTTTAGAAGAAATAGATGGAAAAGTTATGGCATCACCTAAATATATGGGAAAATTATGGAATTATGAAAAGGCATTTTTGTTTTCTAATGCCATAAGGTGGGAGTTTTGAAAAAAAAGTTTTGTGGCATGTTTGTGATTTCTTTTTTTAAGTGCAAAATTAAACAACTAATAGAGAAGCCAAGAATGGTCCATATTTGTCAGGTTGTCTGTCCCTTTGTATGGAATCTTCTAATTTTCTCTAGAGGGATGGTAAAAATGTCAAGCCAGCTCAGCATTTATGATGGTTGCTTCATTGAGG